TTGAATTTTGAAGAAAAAAACAAATAGCTTTTGCTATATAATATTTATCACGCTTTCAAATTTTTTTTGAGAATATTGACAATACGGTATTAGGTCGGCATTTTCCTAGGTCATTTCTTTTTCACGCTTTGTGCACCGCACTAACCCTTGCGTAGTAACCCTAAGCAAAATAAATATTTTAACATATCCGAGATACTTGTCGATGACATATTTTCGCTGGCGACTGCTGCTCAGCCTTAACGGAATTGTGAGTAAAATTTTAACGCCTGCTGAACAATTTTGGATTGGCACCAAACGCCCGATAGTTTTGTAAAACTGACATTCCTTCTTTTGCGGGTGGCAGTAACGAGGTCCCTGAAGGACAGGTCGGAGGGCTTGTGGATATATAAAGCCGTTAGATTGTTACGTGACACTGTGACCTCACCGTGTAACATGGTTTCACCGTGTCACGTCATGTCACGTGTCACTGTGACGTCACGTGACGTCACAGTGTAACGGGACTTGACGTAACAATGTAACGTCCAAGTGCTCCCTGACGTCACGGGACACAATAACAACCCACTCTCAAGTGCCGTCGTGGGCTGTGTTCTAAAATTTACTCAATCCAACTCCAGAGTAAGGGTTTCGTAATGCAGCGTTTCAAAACTTACTCGTGCTTACCAGATAACGTCAGAACTTGCATTCCAGAAGTTGGCTGTTTACTCCCGAGTAACTACTCGCGCTACCCTCCTCGATCAGTGGGTAACATCGGATGAAATCGAGTAAATACGTCCCGTGATCTGTTCGCCGTCTGCTCGTCGTCTGCTCGTCGTCTGCTCGTCGTCTGCTTTTTGTGCCCACAGCCGTCGAAACTCGTTTGCTCCATTCACTTTGGTGGCAGGTGTTCGAAATGACGAGTATAAGGTGCAGCCATTTACGCGTGGTTATTGCGATTTGGTGTTTTAAACGCACGAATTTACTGTGCAACTACATCCAGACCTTGCACCTTTCAGAGAAAGGAATACCTGTTGTTATTAACAAAGTGCGAGCGTAAACAGGAGCTTCACCGCGTCCCTGTCCTCAGCGTTGAAGGGAACTCGTGTTTTTACGTTTGAGGCTGAAAATGTTCTAACTCTGTAGATGACGTGAAAGTATTTTTTTTTTATATTTCACAAAGTGTGTGTGATGAGAGGAAAACGATTGTAAAGCAGTGAAGGCTTCGAAGAATTTATGTAAATGACCAGTCAACCAACCCCAGCCTACCAATCCCCCCTAGAAATATAGTGGTTTGGAAGTTCCTTTTGTGATTTTGTGATCATATTCTAGTCAAAGTGAACGCAAGTTAATATAACTGTTGAGAAAGCCCTCTATACTGTACCGCTACACCGTGTAAAATCAATTTCAGAAAAACGTAATCGTAGCAAATTGTGATGCATGGAACGTATGCGTTGGCGGCACCTGGACTAGACTTTCAACGGTCGCGCTGCTTAATAAAATGTTTTCGGGTGTTTAACGGTAAAGAATAAGTAATTTTGATTCAATATGCAGCCAAAAAGGACGGTGAGCAAAAGGAGCAGGGTGGTACCATCTCAGGAAACGCCGCATCGTTACTGTGAAAGAAAAACAGCGCAGCGGTTAATATAATCGTCTCTTCGAGTTCTTTCTCCACGAGCAAAAGCGATCGTCTGCTATTTTCAGCCATAGCTTTTATGTTGTATTTTTTCCGTAGCCCAAGACGAAGCCAATCCGCGTAGCAGCCAGGTGATAACCGCGGCCGTTCCAAAATCGAGTCGCGGATCGTTTACTCGCGACGTCACGTGGTATTATTACCCGCTGACGTAGGAGACAGGTTACTGGGGTAAGATTCGGAACATAGCCATGGTGTTACGTTGCGTCAAGGTGTCATGAAACCTCGACCGTGTCATGACATAACACGACGTCACAGAAGACCTTTAAATGCTATGAGTTTGGTGAGGCTCTGGGATGACCTCACATTGTCACGTAACATTGTGATGCCATCGAAGCTACGGGACACGGCCACAAAAGTCCTAATGTGTGCGCTATGATAGATGCTATGCATTCAAAACAAACAAAAAAGTGGTACCAGAAACTTGGGCTGTCCAGTACGACGGGGTGTTTGAAGGTGAAGAACTTCAAGTCTGGGACTTTGGTTGTTTCGGGCTCGCTTCGTTCTGACGGCGGTGCTCGAGGGACAGTGAAAATGTTGCTTACGGTAGAGTGTCGTTGACTGTGATAGAGTACGGTTGCTTACGTCAACTGGTGTCGTCCATCGGCGGAAGAACTGCCGGGGCTGGAGCACGGAAGTCGGGGACGGTTGGTGCTTCCAGAGTTATTTATTGTTGTACAGCTGTGACTGAAAATACAAATGCGTGCCCGTATGCTGGATACGTGAGAGAAGCATAAAAGAATGTGCTCGTATGCTGAAACGTGAAAGAAGCATAAAAGACGAACGTGAAGGAAGCATAAAAGATGAATGAGCTTGTCGGTATCACTGTCTCTTTAACAATTTTCTAGGTGTCGTTTGTTTTCACGAGTACTCTCATCGGAAGCTTTGTCTGTTATGTTACCACATGCTACGATCGGCCAAACGAAGATTTGTTGAAGCTGGGTTCTGGTTGCCAGCTGGGGAGCCTGCGATTGCTCAGCACTATTTGCCGAGAGAGTTTGCGTCGTGTCATGGTATCACACTGACTTGTTGGCGCTCGGTTCCTATGAGGCTGTACCGCGAGAGGCAATAAATACGGGGACGGGGGCAAACGACATCAGGTCGTTCTTCCGTTGAACACTGCGTCGCCTGTATGTCTCGTCCCGTCGTCCCGCGACACAACATGGTTCCCGGAAGAGGGGGGGGGGGGGGGGGGGGAGATGGCCCAACTGAATGGTGTGCAGGCATCGTGCCCGTACTCAATCCTTCGGGCGAAGTTCGCCTATGCGTAGTCGTAACGCAGTTGAACAAAGGAGTCTTGCGGGAACGATGGTTTCTGCCAACAGTAGGCGACACTCTAGGTCAACTGTTGAAAGCCTCCTATTTGTCGAACCTGGACGCTGATTTGGACTTCCGCCAAGTGAGGTTGGTAGAAGAGTCAGCCGATAACAACCTTTATCACTCCGCTCGGCCGCTACTGTTTCCAGCGGCTCCAGTTAGGAGTAGGCTCATTCCCAGAAGATTTCCAGAAACGAATGGTAGAACTATTAGACTAGCAGTAGCAAACATGATGCATGACATCTTAGTTTTTGGAGCCTCAAGGCCTGAACATGATGAAAGTTTGTGTCCGGTTCTCGCAAGACGGGTGAAACCGGGGTAACGCTTAATCAGGCCAAGAGTGTATTCGGTGTTCGCAAAGTGTCGTTTTCGGGCAATTCGGTTGATACGACGTCTATTAGAAGAGACCCGAAAAAGGTAGAGGCCGCCAAAGAAATGGTTACGCCAGTGAACGACCCAAACGTCCACACTCTAAAATTTTAGTTTCACAAAAACTGGGCTCGCGTGGGCGTCGGCTCACAAAACAGTTTTGTTTTCCATTAGTACATATCGTCTGATCCAGGTAACGTCGGCTGCTGAAACTTTCGCATTTTATCATCACCGCTAGCGTCACATTCTCACGGAGTTTCAGCTATCTGCGATGCTTAGTTTATGCGGGCTAAAAGACTGTTTTTTTTTTTCCCCGATAGGACCCTGTATACCTCGTGAGGATTATCCATGCGGTTCAGCGAGAGAACCTTTTTCAGCGTGCAGTGTGTCTTTAAAGCTTCCTTTCATCAGAACTGCCTACTGTAAATACTGATCCAGCGCCCACCATAAAGTTAGAGATATTCACGAAAAAAAATGGGCACTGATGCTTGTTAGGTTGGAAAGCAGAGAAGCAGAAGGGATATGCGCTAGAGTAAGCCCTTGTTCGATTCGATGGAACGGAAGGGGAGCATTATGGGTGTCTGGCAAAACCTAATTTTTAAAGAAGTCGCATCCCTCTTGTCAAGCCTCCGTTGCTTGATGCTTTTGCATCATACTTTACCGCTTCATATCATTGCATATGTGCAAAGTTTTCCTGCCTTCAACTGGCTTCTCAGATTTGGCTGATGCAGAGGAGCGTCTCATTTAGATCGGCGGGCTCGGGCATTTCTTATGACGGTTGCTTGATATGTCTGTTGTCTGTATTTGGGTCGTAGAGTTTTCCGGTGTTCATTCATAGGAAAACCGGCGGGCATTTTTCAGCATTTATACGGTTATCAAATATCGGTGCATTTCGTTAATTGTTTTTGGAACGACTCCAGAAAAGATGATTACCGGCAGAAAACTCTAATGGAAAACCAAGAGTTAAAGTCTAAGGGCACATGGTTTCGGAAAAAAAAACACCCCTTGCTAAAGTGAAATTCCACTAATCAGAAGGTAAAAAGTGAAAGCCGTTTACAAATCCCTGTAACGCCGAATTGGAGCGCAGCTCTTGAGGAGGAGTAGGGAAGGGTACTGAGGGGTCACGTCACCTGCGGGTAGTCACGTGACCCCCCGGGGGGGGGGTCACGTGACCTCGGGGGAGGGGGGTCACGTGACCTCGGGGGGGGGGGGGGGTCACGTGACCCCCCCCCCCCCGGTTACGCCGACGCCGACAACGACGCCTACGGCGACGCCGACGCCGACGCCGACGCCGACGCGACGCCGACGCCGCTCAGGCTGGAAACGGGCCCCTAAGAGCTGCGCTCTAAAAAGACCACTTTGAAGACATCGAGGATCATAAACATATTTTGAAAGGTTCTTTTGATCTAGGGAGATCTAATTATTAGAGTTATACTTTAAAGAACACTGCTAAATTTGTCAGCAGTCAAGTTTCAGGAGCGATGTGTGACCAAATAGCACATCTCACCAGTGTCGGGCATTTGCAGTTCCGACTGTTTTTAATCTTTTCGTTCTTAGTGTCTGTTAAATGTGTTTTTCTGAAGATGTTCTTAAAAGCATGGTTTCACAATTTTATTTGGTTAACAAAACATTTGTTTTCTTCCCTCAGGTCAGGATGGAAACTGAATCCCGACAGCAAATGGGTCAAGGTTGAGAATGCGGAGTTCCACAGCGATGAAGATGGACCTCCAGAGTTTAAAGGGCAACAAGCAGGACTAGGTGTGCAGATTTAAGTGCCCACTGAATGTAGTAACATATGTTCTGCCTGAACTAAGTTGAATATGTAGGGCTGACAACATTGATAATCGGTCAACTTTCCACGACTTCGGACGCAAAAAAAATCTTAAAGAAAGCTGCACCCGCTTGTTTTCGTATTGTTATTTAGTATGTGGTGGTACTACCACTACATAGTCTATTCCATTCTATGGACGTTCCTCAAAAGTGAAGTTAATTTAGATTTAGTGGAGTTGTTTCGGAAGCCTTGGATTCATCATAAGCACGATGCCGGTAACAAACTTGGCGGGCAGACAACAAAACTTTGTCCCGTTTCGTAAATAACTACACAAATAAAACATGGTGTTACGTGCAAAAAAAAAAAAAAAAAAAAAAACACGAGGAAGACGCACACGTAGGCGCCTGTGTGTGTGCCTTGCTTGTGCCCACTTTTTTTTAAACCTAGCATTTTGCTTTATATAGTTCATGAACTAGCCCAATTACAAAATCTACATCAACATTGGTACTTCATAATATATTTTAGTGTATCGGGTTGCGACTATGCTGCAATAGTTCGCGCTCCGCTCTATGTATACAATGAGAGAGTATATGTGAGAGTAATGATATCTGACTTTGAATGCTAACATTATTACACCACTACACTCACATATAATTTCGCGCTTGCGCACAAATTTCTGTGCACAGGCACCGGCGCAAGTGTTGTCGCTATGTTATACAGTGTGCATAAGTGTTCAAGAAACAGGTACGGACATATTTTAGCAGCCTGTTTACTGCTGCCTTGTTACACGATCTTCTATTCCAGTATTCAACTACGAGTTAAAAAAAAATCCCATGTTTGTGTAGATCGAGGGTAACTAGAAGCCTCTAACTGAGGTTGATCACCGTGCTATTAGAAATAATTCCAAATGAAATTTTGTTTCTTAGCAGACCGGATTGTCAAAAAGAAAATGTTATCTTTATTTCAATCTGCCTCTGATATTGTAGCGGCCCTAATGTGCAGAATTGTTTGTGTGGTGTGAACGACGGGGCTGAACACATGAACACTAGCCGTCATCGCTTCTGCCTTCTTTTCTGAGCGCTAATGGCCTCCAAAGCTGCCTAGGCAGATGCCTGTGCTTCGCGGAGCCACTTCTTGATGTACATTTTCTCCACCTTCCTGGCGGCGACAACCGACTCGGGGTCGGCCGGATTAGAAGACCGCAAGTCAAGGGGGTGTGCTGCTTCCGTTATGTACAGGGTGATCAGGCGCTGTCCGACAGGTTTGTCAGAACTCCACCAGCAGACCAGGGGTCCAGGTCACCATTGCTGTAATGCAGGTGTGACGCGGAGTCCAGTAAGGAAAGCAAGTGTACCATATGTTCCGCAATATACTCCGCAGTCTATGCAAGCCCGAAAGTTTGGAATTTGCGCGGTGCGGACCATCTGCGAGCCCCAACTGTACAGGGATTTGTTTGTCTTGAAGACTTGAAGAATTTTGTGAATGACAGACTATCTTAATGATGATTTTTGACAATGGGATCTTTTTTTGTGCACTAACAACAGTGATGAAACCTGCGCCACTTACGCCAAGTTGCGTCATGAACAAAAGTCTGCTGCACCATGCGCCAAAATGCATTGTTTGCTACGAATCGCGCCATACCTGCGCTAAGATGGGCTTAAAGCAAAACAAAAATATATATTGTATTTCTCGTTGGCCCTGATATTCAGGAAAGTGACGCGGAAGATGCTGGGCATGAAGCGCTCTGGCCGGTTGAAGCGCTGGGTGGTTGATGGCCGACGTCGCCTAAATTTACAGACGACGTCGTCGATGTTGTTTTTGATAAAACAGAATCAGGGTCTTGTACTCCTGATAAGATGACTTGATCATCGTGTTTGACACACGCGTTCGTTGCGTGGCTGCAGAGTACCATGGCAGTTGCGCCGCCCGCGTTAGCCTTCACTGCCTCCCACCAGCGTGCACGTGTCGAGCTTCACCGCTTTGCACCGGAGTGCTAGGAGCGGCGGCTGACCTGGGGGAGCGCCTGGCTTGGCGGAAATAATGCTCAGGATTATTTTATGTCGATCCTCGTTGTCCAAATTGTAAATTAATCTCTACTTAAAGAAAATTAAAAAACGTTTACAAATCTCTGTAATGCGAAATTCGATCGCAGCTGTTCAGGTATTTTGTTCTTGCAATATACCGTGCAAAAGAATTTGAGAAAGAAATATATATGCCGTAAAATACCGGTGGAGATCCCCCCCCCCTCTTTTATTTATAACGGTGTTAATGTCACCATGGACACTTGTCCGCGGCCAGTCGGGTGTTTAACGTATAATATTCATAATTCCTTTTTTTTCTAAATGTGAATTTAGAAAAAAATGAGAAAAAATTAGAAAAAGAATTACTCGCATAATGTCTTCCTGAAAAATTGACTTACTTGGGGGGCGCGTTTGTTACGCGGGGTAAACTTTTTGCAATTACACACTTGGTGCAAATGTCATTTTAGGTGCCAATATGACACGGCAGGGTACTGTGGCATGCCTCCACTGACAGAGGCGCACCCTCGCCTGGTCGTCGGTGCGCCACAGCAACCATGCTTAATAAATTGCGAACCTTTTTAGGGCTTGTTCGGCCTGTCTTATGCCGAAGGAAAAGCGCTTTGCGAAGCTCACTAAGCACTAACCGCTTAAGAAACGCCGTTCTTGACAAATGTCGAACATCTCAATATCGTTTCACAGGCAATGGGACTGAGGCATTAGGCTGGTAAGAAAGCCGAAACAAGAGTCACCGAGTGAAAACCGTAGAGTGCTTAAGTCATGTCCTGGGAGTCTTAAGATGTCACTTAATATAAAAAGATAACATATTGGCAAAAAATACTGCACTTTGCGTTTATAAAAAGTAACCAAGAAAGTATAACTCTTAAGGAATATACTTTGTCGTTATAATGAACAAAAAAATCTAGGGTTGCAAGCCATGGTGAAAACGTTGACACGGTACATTACTTGATAGCATAAAATCAAACCGTACCTACAAAGGCTCTAAAAATAGGCAGCTTGAACAGTTACATATTATAAGCTCGGGATTAATATCAGAAATTTAAAGCACTACATTTGCTGTGTAGCAAGACAAAACAAAAGTATGAAAATGAAGTATCTTCGTGATAGTTATTGATGCTCTTTACGACATTTATTGTGTATTTCTTGGCTAGTTGATCATTCAAGAGTTTTTAAGTATTTGAGTACTACTATAAACCTTACCGGGTGAGGTTTTTTTTCTTGCGATGGCTGTTCAACCGCACACAAGCTGCGCCTAAGCCTTTGGCGCCTGCTGACCGATTTTAGGGTACCGGAAAACACACGATCGCTTTGCACAAATTTGAAATATTCTATGGTCACACAGGAATCTGGTAACCTTGGCTTAGAAAAAAAAAAGTTGTGTGTCACCCACATACCTGTCACGTGATTCCATGACAACAAGCGGCACTTTGACGCCACGTGACACTGCGAAGTCACGTGACGTCATGGCGGAACTAGAAATTGTCACACAACGGTAAAATGTTTACGGAAGACGGCAACCGCCACTATATTGTCTGTGTTCAAATGAATTTGTAGAACTTTTTTTTGACAGGTAGTGCTGCGATATGGTCCTTGTTCCTCTCGAACCAAATAGAAGCACGGGAAATCTGCGAAGCTGGGAAGTTATTACGTAATTACGTAACAAAATCATTACCAAATAAAATATAAACCGCATGTAGGCGATTTAGTGAGCGATGAGACAAGCAACGGAGATCCAATTTGCTGTCACTCGGTCAGTCAGCGTCGTGACGAGGCAAACCGCATGAAAGCGACAGGAGCAAGCGATCAAGGTGATGAGCGATGTTTTCTAGAAATCCAAAAATCGAGCGATGCGACAAGCCACAGCGAGAGATCTTCGTCACTTACTCTCGTCGCTGTCGCCGTCGCTCGCCTCGTCGATCGCTAAATCGCTTGCATGCGGTTCAACCTTCAAAGCTTGAGTACCAGAAATCGTTTCCATGAGTGCCATATATGGTGGTGAAACAACAGAACTTGAAATCCACAGGATGTCTTTGCCCTTTTGCGCAGAACGATTATGACGAGTGTTTAAGCACTAGCGCGACGGGCCATGACTCATCACTTTTGAATCAACCATCACTTCCAGCTATTAACTGCCCATTCTAAAAACCCATCCCGCAAATACGGACGATGTCAACGGGAAAATTGATGTGCACGGTCGAGTGGAAGGAAATAGGTTTTTATTTTATATATTATATTTTTCCTCAACAAACGTCAATTAACGCGGCTGTTTTTCTAGCGAGGCATCGATAAAGTTGAGCTTGTGCAATCCTAAGTAAAAGAGTCGTAGCGACAACACTTACCTCCAAATCTTGATAGGACCAAGAGGTTCAACCACCGAACAAACCACACACGGTACCCACCAATTATAAGTTTCATTTTTTTTTTACTTCAAACAATTTCTTGCCGACCGGTGGATTTATAACCGGGTGATTTCAGATAAGATCGACCAAAGGGTGGCTGGTCGACATTTTTAAATCAACTGATGTTTTTATATGACATTGCCTAGTGTCTGGTATAAACGAAACCACACTTAGTTTTGACCAGAAAAAAAATTTGGAGACAAGAAAAATCGTAAGGCAGGGAGAGGTGGACAGTTGCAATAACGCGCACTGATGGAGGGGGTAAGTTTGAAAGTGAATAATTAAAACAATAAAATTAGGAGAATTTTAAAACTTTTTACAAACAAACTATGGGTACAACTTGCTTGTAATATAAAGTAGTAATATTTATTAAAAATTTATTTAGTTTTCTACAAATTGCCAAACATGCCTGCTCGAACGACAAAATGGCAAACTTTGGAAATCTGTATCTCATGAAATAATTTAATCATTATTACATAACTTGCAGACATTATTTTACTAATATATGGCTATTATTGAAAAAATAAATAAGGTATCTGAGTGACACAATAGTTACAATATAT